AGGACTATCAGAGGTGATTCTAACTTGTGATTGCCATGGCCACTGTACGAGAGAAATTGTTGACGGCAGTCTATGAAGAGGAGCATACAGCCCCAAGTAAAGTGACAATTGTTGGTGTTGGACAAGTAGGGATGGCATGCGCTTACAGCATAATGCAGCAGGTTGGACTTTACATTTTAAAGTATACATCCATTAATCAAATATCATCCCTACTTCTTAATTAGCCCTTTCTTTGTCTTTTTTATTGTTTTCCTTTTCTTTCCCCCTGCAGGTCAAACTTCTCTAACCTTTTTATTCCCATCGGTGAATAATATCACCCTAGGTGATATCTTGATGTAAGACCAAATTCTCTTGTTCTATTTACAAAGAAATGTGTGGCAATCAGTAGGAAGAGTTATTGACTATATCTTTAGTGGGTAATGGGAATGAAAGGACGGATATACTGAAAATGTTTGTAAATGCACTGCTCCCCTAGGTTGTTCATGATATATAGCATATGTCATTTTCATCACTGATCAGGGTATTTGCCGTGAACTGGCCTTGGTTGACATGATTGAGGATAAGCTGAAAGGGGAGATGTTGGACTTGCAGCATTGTCAGCGGTTTGTCAAGAACGTCAGCATTCGTGCAAGCACTGGTATAAATTATTTTTCTCTTGTTCTTTGTGGTCTGATTAAGGACCACTTTCATGTTTGATGCCAGCATGTGTTTTATTAGCCTGCATCTCAGCCCCATCTCCTTTCCACTCAGATTATGCTGTTACCGCAAACTCCAACTTGTGTATTGTGACTGCGGGCTCGCGTCAGAAAGAGGGTGAAAGCAGAAGGGATCTGGTACAGAGAAATGTCAACATCTTCAAAGGTAAATAATGGTATGTCTTTGGCTGGAGTCTTTCTGCAGAATGATTCATGGAATAAAAGCAACCACTTGACAATAACATTGTGGATGCTCATGCAATTTTTAATGCATTTTCTACTTTTCAGCAATCATTCCACAGCTGGTGAAACACAGCCCAAACACCATTCTGATGATTGTCTCAAACCCAGGTAAACAATCCAACAATATTTAACAATTACATAATAAGATGAATTCTACACCCATTTTGATTGGCTCTAATGTACGATCTATCTGAGGACAGACGCATAGATGACGTGGCCATTAACGACATTTTGCTTTTTTATCATACAAAATAAACTTATTCTTTGTTTTGATACATCTGTTCAGTAAAAGATCACAGCTGTGACAAGAAAACAAAAAACTGTGGTAAGATCAAAATGGGGGGCACGCGAGGCGCAGCCGAGTATGTTACTGATGGGAGTGAAGTGTCTTGCGCATGCCCAAGAATACAATACAATGACTCGACTTCGGCTCAAACCCAGACCTCTCGACATTGAGTCCAGCACGTCTCCTTTCGAGCGTCAGCTACGTGTACAATGTATTGTTAGTAACCATGGAAATGAATTTTTCATTATTATCTTACAAATTCCATTATTATCTTAGTGGACATTTTAACTTATGTGGCATGGAAAATCAGCGGACTTCCCCATGAGCGTGTGATTGGAAGCGGAACGAACCTGGACACGGCCCGGTTTCATTTTCTTATCAGTGAAAAACTTAACATCGCGCCAAACAATGTGCATGGATGGATCATTGGGGAGCATGGCGATGCTAGTGGTACGTTATCAATACTCCTTTCTTAGCTCTTCATTGGTAAGGGCCACTGATCATAATCATAGGGGGTATGTACATTTTAGTTCAAATGGTAAAACAGACCAGGTGACAGCTGACCCCTGATATAAGCTGCTCCGTTTGTGCTTCTTCCAAAAGCAAGTCGCTGCGGCTCAGTAGTACTTTCGAATCAAAACCAGCTACAGTTTGAGTAACTTGTTTTGACGGCAAAGTTCTGTCGTAGAACGCAAGTCGTCTCAGAAAATTTCCATGTGGAGTTGGTTTCCGCTCTTCTGTGGAGTCCAGCCTTTGCTCCTCTCGCACTAACTGGGCCCTTTCCCAAACAAGCGGGAAGTTACTAAGCCAATTGTAGCTGCGACCCGTTGCCTAGTGACTAAATCTCAACCAATGAGCGCTCGTTTTTTTTTACCCTCATAGTGAATCTCTCATATTACTTCGGGTGAAACAAGCTCTCCCTTATTGTTTTGCAAACTTAAAATTTTTGGGCTCATTCGTCAAATGGTTGCTGTTCTATGTATTTCCTTGTTTCTCAGTGCCTGTTTGGAGTGGTGTGAATATTGCTGGAGTTAATCTCAAGGATCTCCACCCAGACATCGGGTCTGATGGCGACCCGGAAAAATGGAATGAAGTACACCAGAAGGTTGTGAACAGGTAAATTGTTTTGAATTGTGCATCGTATTTTGAACACTGCGTGATCTGACGTTTAACGGGCCAGGTCTGACTTCCTGCGTTTCAAATTTCCCAGTGCAATAGCTTTGGGTAAAGAGGAGGGGGGGGGG